GACTCTATTTTGCATTAGAGAATGGTTGGAGAAGGGTCTGCAACTAGGATGGCATGAGGTGAAGCTAAGGTTCACAGACAAAGATTTATTCCAAATGATATCGAGCAACACCTTATGTAACACGAAATTTGCTGTCCTGGTGGATGACATTAGATCCATCTTGCCTCTTTTTCCTCAGTGTGCTCTTATAGATTGTACTTAGTGTCTGAGTTCTATAGTCTTTTCTTTGTTTGTGGCTTACATTTTCTGTGGTCTCTTCTGTTTTGTATTTTTGTTTTGCTTTTGGGTTTGGGTGTCATGACCGTGCCTGGTCTCTTAGGGTAGCTTGATTTTCGAGCGATCCCGTATTGTACCTCGTCCTAGCTTGCTTGGTAGGGGTGTATTTGTGGCCATTTGGCTACCGATTTGTACATTTCAGTATTTTGTGATATATAATATTTGATGTTTGGAAGAAAAAAAAAAAAGAGATGGTACATAATCTCACAATGATTATACATCAAAATCGTGTTTTTTTCCAAAAATACGTAGGATGAGGCACTATGTTAATGTGCCACAATTTATGATTATTGATATTAATTAATGGCATTAATTGATTTTCTAATTACAACACACAATTTAAAATTCAAATTCATGTACATACTTCATACTATGCATTTGATTTGTTTTAATACGATTTATCGAAATATTAACAAATATTATTTGATTAAATTAAATATTAATGTTGTTGTTAAGCAGTCTAACGGTCACATAATCATATTTTTCATAACAATTTTTTTTTTATAAAAAGAACATATTTCTTAAAACAATATAAACAAATATATAACGGTTTTAATATTATAAGCATGCCATTATGATAAATTTTTGTTCAAATTATGTTAAATCAACCCGTGCAACTATCTGTCTCACATATTCTCGTGTTTAATTTCAAAAGTTCTCTGAAATCTTACTAAATAGGCATAGAAAATGTTATTGTATATACAGTGTTGCAATAATAGTCGGTATAATTATATATTTTTATTCAAATTTTAATCAACGTGTCTATCCATTACTTTATATAAAAAATTATTGGGTTTAAATTCAAATTTCTACAATGATGCAATAATTGTTTCAACTTGGTCAAAATCTTCATGTTGTGTTATAATTGTGCTCTCCTACTAAAGCAAATACCCCCACATAGGCTAACAATATGATGATAAAAATTAAAAACAGTTGATGTGTAATTAGTCTATTTATTACATGATAATAATGATAAAAACATCTATATTGGCAAACTTAATTAATTCCATGACCATCAACCGTAGCCACAAAACTTGAATGGTTTTGATCATTTTACTATTTTAGCTTTGTAAAGACACTGAACTCCATTTTCTTCCATTGTTTTCTTGTGGTAGAAAATGAATGCTTTTGAATAAATTTAATTTCAATCATCAAACCATTAGTTTTAGCAAATCCTTTCAGATGGCCTCTTATGACAAAATATCTAAATCCATTGCATCATTTTTTTTTCTTAAACAAAATTAAGAACACTTCAGCAGATTATTTGAAATTGCTTTGTAAGGAAAAAATATGTTAATTTATTGAATTATTTTCCTTTTAGTGAAAAAATTCATTGTATATTGAAACCTCCACTTTACAATACTTTAATATTGGTATAAGTAAGAAATAGAACATGGTATGTATAGAAAAAAATATGAAACTAATTATGTATTTCTAACTTCTTAAATTTTGAATATTTCTTTTGCTACACTATTACTTTTTCTCAAATGCACATCCCATTAAGTTTTACTCAAATTCTCGTAACATAATTAATTCTCCATTTACACACATTGACAAATAACTTTAATTTTGGACAGTCTAATCAGTGTTAGCGTAATTTGAAAATACAATAAAATATTCTAAGTATCTCAAAAAAATAAATTGTGGTTAGACTTCTTTTTTTATAATTAAATCTTAGCAGTATCTTTCATATTCAACTATCCAACATCAAATATTCGTGGGTGATTTTTTTATTTTATTTTTACGATTTTCTACAAAAGGTCAAGAAAATGATGCACAAACTGCAAAATAAATAAGCAAATAAAAAGATACACATTGATCATTTCTACTGTCTTTATTTATTTATAGACAATTTTTATTAATATTTTTATCCTCCTTGTACTGTATATTACAATAAATTATTATTATTCAACTGCTGTTAGGCAAAATTAATAGATAATTTGTACTATATATTATTATCGACAAAACTAATTGTCAACAATCATATTTTTTAACATATACACATACTTTTAAAGTTAGATAGATGTTAACTAAATAATAACCGTGACAATCTATTATTATTATTACTATTATTCTACCCAATCTCATAAATGATAAAATATTTTCTTCGATTTTTTTTTTGAGAAAATTACATTTTGTATTGATTGAGTAAAAATTATATTGTTTATTATATAATATAACTGTTAATATTAAAATTAATAACTATATTTTACACTAAATGATATATGAAAGTCACATAAACATAAAAGATTATATTGTAAAATAATTTTGTTCAAGTTATTTATTCTAAAATTAATATTATATTTTTTTATCTGATTAAGCGATTGTTTTTAAATAAATTAATTTTATTTTAATGTCATAGTAAAATTTCTTAAAATCGCATAAGCAATTATTATAATAAGTTTAATATTTTTTAGCTAATTAATTATTCTTGATCTCTCAAAATTATAAAAAATATATTATTTAATATATTTTATGCAATCAATATAGTGATTCATATTCAATTAAATCGTTATGTACTATTTATTTTAACCAATTATCGAATTTAAAAACATAATACATTTATCTAACTTATAATTTTAATATTACATGTATAAATATAATTTATAATTATAATATTATTATTTAACTTATAATTATAATATTATATACATACAAATAACTTAACATAATTTATTTTTATATGTGCAAATGCACAATATAGAATACTAGTTATTAATTATGGAATACTAGTTATTAATTGATTGTGAGAGTATACAATAAGAGACTGTACTCGTCCTTTTTGGTCCAAAAAAAAAAACATGTGTACTGTGTGAACATGGCCATATCCACCCCCACCAGTCGCCCCTGCACCCAACAAGAATCACCATTTCCAATTTTCCTTTCTTCTTCCCAATAACAACTTCACCAGTACTCTCTCTCAATCTCAAAAAGCCCCTGTTTTTTTTTTCTTTTTTTCTCCGTGGGTTATCAAATAATTTAGGCGATGATGAAGAACCAAGATTACCAGCGGCTACCGCTCACCGGCGGCTCCGGTGGCGGCGGCGATGTGGGTTCCACCGCAAACTCCATATCCGCATCCCTTTCCTACCCCTTCGCGAGGGCGCCCGCTAGCTCTGGGGCGGTCTCAATCGACGTGGCGCAGGAGGATTACGGCAGCGACGGCGAGGACGAAATCCCAGCGGCCCCGCTGGCCGGGGACTGCGGGTACTCGAGGCCCTTTTTGTTTCTGGACATGATATGGAACCTAGCGTTTGTGGCTGTCTCGATTTTCGTGCTCCTGGTGACCGTCAGGGAGCGGCCGGCGACGCCGCTGAGGCTGTGGGTATTAGGGTACGCGCTGCAGTGTCTTCTGCATGTGGGTTTTGTGTGGGATGAGTATCAAAGCCGGGGTCTTGACGGCGAGGACGGCGGCGGCGGCGGCGGCGGCCGTGGTCGGAATTTTCATTCTAGAGGGGTTTCGATATTCTCTGCTCTCAGTCACAAAAGGTATTTTTTTTTTTCCCGCTAAATAGTGTTGGCATTTGAAGTTTTCTTAATACTGGTTGTGGGGATTTAAAATCAGTATAAATTGTTGATGACGCTACAATTTGGTTTTGGGAATTTCTGGTGCTGGCATTTCTCTGTTGTTGGTTTTGATCTGTGTTGGTCTTTTTGTTGGAATAAAAAATGCTGTTGTTGATGTTACTAGGCAGGAAGTGAGAAATAGGCTAAAGCTAGAGGTCTTGACTCCTTNATCTCATTTTAAGTTCATTTTATTAGTTTTGATATTTAGGAGTGCGTTCAATATGATTGATTGTGATATGTAAGTTATTTGTTTATTTGGAGTGGGATTTCTGGTAGATGGGGCGTCAATTGTTTATTTCAATTTGATGTACTGCTGTATATGGTTGGTGTATGTATGACTGTATTCTCTCCTTTTTCTGTCTTGTGATGAAGTATATGAAAGTAGATTTCTTTCCTATTAAGATTTGAAGTTCCATAGCAAATTAGCAAGTATGAATTGTTGCGAAACTTGCAAAAATACCTCCTTTTGTTCTTGTGTTTAGAAAAATGCTATCTTTGATATTAATCTCGGTTGTTTGTTTGGTTGTAATACACAAAAGTGGTATTGTTGTGGATACTAAAGTTAAAAGGTGGCATTTTTGCAGATTTTCCTTAATTTTCGTTAAGGTCGAGTATTTCTACAATAAAACAAATCTAGCAGTGTGTGGTATTGGTATGTGATCAAAGTATGAAGTTGTGCAAATATATATGGTTATCCCACAGGTGCCAAAGTAAAATTGGAATATGAAAATCGCAAATAGTTAAAAATGATTTTGGAGAAGAATTATAAATTTGCCACCTCCTGACGAATTATAGTAGCTGGATGGTGGAATTTTGGGAGTGGGGTTTATTCAAGGTTGAAAGATGAGCTGCTAAGAGATATTATAGTTTTAAAACAAGAACAATAGTTGCATATTGTTGCATATTGATCCATTCAGCAGTCTTATCAACTGAACTGTGCATCTAATTTTCATTTTGAAGTATAAAGTTGGCATGAGGAATAAAGGGGGAAAGAGTGAACTCCGAATTATAACTGTAATTCCATTTTTTTTTTTAAATTTCAGCGTGATAAAGAAGCTAGAGTCTGTTAACACTATCGTTTCATCAGTGTGGTGGGTTTTCGGTTTTTATTGGATAGTAATTGGAGGCCAACCCCTTCTGCAAGATTCGCCACGACTTTACTGGTATGTTTTTTGTAACTTTACGCATGCCCTCATGTTAATAATCTCTCTGCCTTGATTACCCCATAAAAAAGCTCCTTTTTTTTTTCCGGAAAACTGCAGGTTATCAGTGATCTTCTTAGCCTTTGACGTGTTTTTCATGATCTTCTGCATAGCCATGGCTTGCGTTATTTTCCTGTTGCTGTTTTGTTGTTTTCCGATCTTAGCTACAATTGCATATGCAATGACTATAAGAGATGGAGCCTCTGAAAATGATATAAAGTCCCTTCCCAAGTATATATACCGACAAAAAAATATACTCGAGGATGATCGCAAACAAGAAGTGAATTTAACGGCACTGCCTGGCAATAGCAATTCCACATCCGAGCTTTTTCTTAATCCAGAAGATTCTGTAAGCTTTCTTCGTTTCTGTTTTATCATCATATATGATAAAAAGACATTGCATTGTTTTTTAAGTTATTTATGTTTTCTTTTTATATTTTTCGACTGGCTTAATTTTTTTAACCATTCAGGAATGCTGCATTTGCCTCTACAAGTACGTAAATGGAGCTGAGCTGTGTACACTTCCATGCAACCACCATTTTCACCATAAATGCATCACCAAATGGCTTCGTATAAACGCGACTTGTCCCCTTTGCAAATTTAACATTCTCAGAGGCGATATGATGGTCTAACTTCTCCTTCTCTTTCGACTAATACTTTTATCCCGAGGCTTCAAAATCACTTTCACAGGATCAGGAAAAAAACGAAAAGAGTTAAAGTACATATGCTTGCATTTTCTAGCTTAATGTACAGTGGGGTGAAAAGAAAAATGTAAATCCCTGTGGGAACAGTTACAAGGTAGAGGTGGTCCAGAGGTGGCNTGGAATTTCTTTCAAGAACTTGCTAATGAGCTTTTGATTGATAGCTTAAGTATGATGAAGTTGGAACCTTGATTAAGTCTTCAGTGTTGTTGTAGAATTTACACAAGGAAATTCTAGCCTGGAGTAGTAAATTGTGTAGATTTTTGTGATTGGGTTATCTTATTATCAAGCTTTTTTATCCTAAGAAGTAACTCAGTAACTGCACAAACATAAATAAATAATTTGTACGTTGTAAAACAAAATTGATATGGGTAAGGTGTTCTCAAGCAGAGATAAGATCAAGTGGTACCATAGTTTTAGTGCTCCATTAATTCTTATTGAGTGGTTTTAATATGAAAAAACCCAATATTAGTATCCACCATTGTGAACATTTAGTGGTAGTGTGAATATAATTTGTTAACCCAGCTTAATCATTTAATTGGTTACTCTTTCCATAAATACGCATATTTTACTTAGAAAATGACTTATTTGTATATTCCATTCACAAATTATGACAGATTGATAATGGTTGGACTGCATTACACAAGTAAATTGTATTAGTGGTGTCCATATATAACAATGTTAAAAGATAAAACAAATTATAAATAAAGCTTCAGCACCACCTTACTCTTAAATGGAAAAACTGGGAAAAAAACAAGTACAAAATTAAACAAATGAACTTGGAAATAATAAGTGTTGAATTAGTTATGTGATATTGAGTAGTCACGTTAAAACTTGGCAATTAAACCTCCCGTGGAAAAAAGAAAAAAAAAAAAGGAAAAAAAATTGTTTCTGTGATCTGTAATCAGTTTCCTATCTCTAGCACTGACAACCACAATTCTGAATCATTTAATAAGATGAAGCAAAATTACTCTGTTAAACATGGCAGAGTTTATCCTTCTAAGGTGATATGGTTTTTCACAGTTCATAAGTTCAGGTGTTGAACTCTACTGATGTATAAGCTGCTGTAAGATGGCCAATAGCTAACAGTAAAGAAAAAATGAGGTTTGATTACCTAAGTAAAGAAGAAAGAAGAGACCTATAGATACTGTCAAAATACCAATTACAAAAGAAAATGAACAAATATTCCTGCAATTTGTCTCTGTTTTATAAAGCAAATCTCAATGGGGAGTTTGTTTGTTGTGCCTTAAGAAGGTAAATTGTAATTTTTACACTACAACAAGAAACGAACTGCAATAAACAGCATCCAAAACAAGTCGAAAAAAACCCGCATGAAATCTAAGCACAAAATAATCAAACGTGCATGTTCTTCTTCATTTTCGAAGGCGGCCACCGACCCTTCTTCCTCAGATGGCGTTTCTGGACGAGCCTCTTTCGCCTCAGCCTGATTTTCTTGGCCAGTTTCATTTTTATCCTCTGCTCGTTTATCTCCTGAAGCTTGGACTCCAATGGAAGGTTCTCAACTGGTATGCTTTCTTCATTGCCGTCCGATTGAAGGGGTGGTGGGCCCTCCAGATTGGTCGAGATTGTTCCACTAACATCTGAAGATGCTTTAACGAGTAACGGGCCTCGGTTATTGAGGATAAAAGGTGGTCGGATTTTGGTCCTGACATAGGCTTTTGTCGGGTGCAATGAAATTGACTTGTGGCAGAACCTGAAAACTAATGACAAAAGAGAGCAAACTCAAAGAGAATTCGAAAATGTTTACATCTTCATTAAAAATAAGTAGCTATGTAAGAGGGCTTAATGACAAATAGATCTGCTTATGATGGTTAACCAAAAAACAAGGAGAAAAGAAAGACAGAAAATCCAGATTTTGTAATATCAATATACTCGTCTTTGGGTTTTGTATTTGTTTTTACAAACTTATGACCTATATAGATGCATTTTGTAAAACATAGTAGCATATATATGACTGATTTTGTAATCAAGGTTAAACCTGCAANTTTTTGTCAAACGATAGATAACATTTCACTCAAAAATCAAAAGAGTACAACCGATTGCCCACTGGCAATACAAACCTGCAACTCATCTATACCAAAATATGCAAACTACTTCTTAAACTACTCATCCCCATAATATGCGAAAAATCAGAACCTTAGCTCCTCATCCCCATATTATGCAACATATTATAAAGTTAGTTGTTTGCAACTGATATCTTCAGAAGATGTGAGATGCAACAATCAGGCAATGTGTCCAGAAATCAAATGCCGAGCACATGTTTGACAAAACACGCCAACAATCATCCATAGATAGTAGATAGTACATGGGGTCCCAAGAAGATTGATAAAAACACCATATTATACTATTATACTCCACATTGTACAGAAAAAAACTGATTAGTTTAAGCCACGATCTACACAAAGTTCAAGGTTGCAGAACATGACATACAGACAAACACAGAGAGTAATTGCTGTGAGTAATAACGAATAGAGGAAAGAGGCGTTTTTTCCACTTTCCCCTCATAGACCCATATCAAGAAATTACAAGAAATAAGGAAATGCGGCCCATCCCAGGAAGATATATGAAAACACTGTAATATACTAGGATACTCCACATTGTACATAATAACTGACTAACTTAAGTCAGGATTTATTCAAAGTTGCAGAGCTTGACATTATAGACAAACACATTAAGTGCGTGCTATGAATACTTACGAACAGACGAAGATGCGTTTTGTTTTGTTTTTCATTTTACCTGGTAAACCCGTATTAGAAAACCACAATGAGGAAATGCAGCCATCCCAGAAAATTCAAAGTTCGATTTTTCCGATCGCCCACAAAAACTATGAAAAATATCCCACCACCATAAACCTCCAAACATAACAATTACAATTTTGTCTTTAAGGCAGCAAGATTCATGAGGTTCACGTAAATTAAATCATTAAAGAGGGGGTTTCGTGTACTTACAAGGGTGTGCAGAGACTCCAGAAGTGGATGACGATGGTGAAGAAAGAGTTGAGAAGGAAGATGTGAAGAGGAGAGCCATTTTTCTCCAGTATTTTTCCAAGAGTAATGGATAAGCCCTTTTTTATTAAAAAAAAAATAATAAAAAAATCACCTTTTTAAGGGGATGNTTTATTATTATTATTATTATTATTAAAGGATTGCATGTGCTCCCTCCAAGTATTTTGAAATTCGTTTTTAACATCTAGTATGATAAATCCGCTACATAAAAAACAAATTATTCATCTATATCATTTTTATTTTATAATTAAATAATTAATCCATTCATATTTATATATACAAATTATTATTAATTTCTTTCATATTACATTACAATTAATACTACTCTTTATCCCACATCATAAAATATTTATATATACTAATTATTATTTTATTACTTTCATATTACATTACAATTAATAATACTCTTTATCCCACATCATAAAATAAATAATTCTTTCACTAGTTTTGTTGCACAAGCTATAATTTTTCATTCAAATAAAAATATATTTAAAAGCTAATTAGAGTATTTAAATGAAACGAGTTGTTCATAAGCTCAATTTATTAGTAGATAGAAACCGAGTTTATTTGAAATTTAATTAGTTAGCGATATTTAATTTTTCATAAAGGCATCCGCAATGGTGCGTTCAAGTGCCCCGTTCAACTTGTTTAAATGCCAACTTGGCATTTAATAACATTGTGGGTGTTCATTTAGGGTTGGCCCCCCACCATTCATTCATTCCATTGAACGGCAATTGTGTCCCTTTTTATATTTTTTTTTGTTTTCTTTATTTTTTTTAAAAAAATTATTATTTTATATTGAATGAGTTGATAATGGTCCTACATATGTATTTAAATGAATGTGTAGGAATGTGAGTGTGTGTTTAAATAGAGAGAGATTTAGTTAAAAGATGATTTGGATGAAAGAGAGTATTACTTTTTTATTGAATGAATGGTATTTGTGTTAAACGGATGTGGATGCCTAACTTAATTTGTTAATATTGATAACTTAACTAGAGTTCGACTAGACTAATAATCAAGCTCGGGCTCGGCTAGTAGGAGTCTGAAATCGGTAAATACATCATAGTTTAGGGGTTTAATGTAAATTATCCCTTTTCACATCTTCACTTCCTCTTCCTCTGCAGCTTTGCAACTCCATGGCGAGCTAAAATCAATTGCTAATCATCAAAATGAAAAATTGTTATAAATCGGTTCTTGTTGAGTTGAAACATCACCCGCCATTGGTTAACCCTTCGTAACAGATTCCATGTACTGGAAAACAAAAGGGTTATGAGAATCTTGCAGAAACTCACCACGACACTCCAGTCCCAAATCCCCGGCGGCCCATTCGCCGCCTCGATCCAGATCCGCCGCAGAAAGCCCGCGGACACCGCCCAGACCCGGCTCGAGACCCGCACCCTCGACCCGAAGCTCGACCTCCTCGCGTACCACCGCCGCCGCCTCGCCCTCGCGCTCAGCGTCCACGCCCTCGCCTCCTCCAGGAAGCGCGGGCCCTTCGTCTCCGTTCAGCTCCTCTCCCGGTGGGCCCCGCACGCCGGCGTCGAAACCCTCACCGCCGGCGAATTCCTCCGCAAGTACCCTCACGTCTTCGAGGTATTCACCCACCCGGTCAGGAAAAACGCGTGCTGTAGAATCACACCGAATTTTTTAAAATTGCTCGAGCTTGAGGATGAGATTGTGTCTGGTATGGAGGAGATTAACGTGATTAAACTCAGAAAAATTCTCTCCATGTCTGTCAATGGCAGAGTCCACCTCCATGCCATTAGACTAATGAGAAAGGAATTAGGGTTTCCTGAAGATTTTAGGGATTCAATAATTAGAAAGCACATTGAACTATTCAGAATGGTAGACTGGGAGATAGTCGAATTAGTCGACTGGAATGAGAATGCGGAAAAGGCGACAGCTTTCACCGCGAAAATCGAAAAATGGAGAGAAAAAGAGTATAGAGAGAAATGGCTGAGCGAATTCGAGGTGAAATATGCATTCCCAATCAATTTCCCAACAGGGTTTAAGATAGTCCCAGGGTTTAAGGAGAAGCTAAGAAACTGGCAGAGGCTTTCCTATATAAAGCCTTACGAGAAAGTCGAAAAGGCTCGTGCCCGTTCATGTGGAGGTGTCGAGAGGTACGAAAAACGATCCGTGGGAATTATTCACGAGCTCCTCTGCTTGACGGTGGAGAAAATGGTGGAAATCGAGAGATTGGCGCATTTTAGGAAGGATTTAGGTATAGAGGTTAATTTGCGCGAGCTTATATTGAAACATCCGGGGATTTTTTACATGTCGACTAGAGGGAACACTCAAATGGTCTTTTTAAGAGAAGCGTATAGTAAAGGTAGTTTGATCGAGACAGATGAGGTTTATGATGTTCGGAGGAAAATGTTGGAGCTTATATTGTTGGGTACTCGTTTTACTAGAGTTATGAAAGAAGGAAAAGAAGATTTTGAGAATGAAGAAGAATATGTCGAGAAAAGTGAAAATGGAGGAGGGGGGCCGAAGGATGGCGATTTTGTAATTCCCATTTTGGAGGGATGCTCGGGAAATAGTAATCGTGGATTTACAAGCTAAACGGCTTAATGGGTTTGTATTATTATGTCCTCTTCAAGAGTGCTTTTTGAGAGTTACAAAAAAATCAGATATCGAGAGTGCTTTTTGAGAAAGTTGATACATTGTGACACTTTTTCCTAATACATTTTGTGTGCATCTCTTGTACAGTGATCAAAAGCTCTATATCTGGATTAGATGTGATCTCTTGGAGCCTTAACGGTTAAGCTGTCTCGTATAAGCATTTGTATTAATGAAAAATGTGGGTTTCATCTTTCATGCATCTAGTTTTCCTCTGTAAGTTGTGCTTGCTTTGATTGACAAACCGCGCGAAGTGATTTCATTTTTCCGGAACATCCTGAAAACTTAAGGGCAAAAATTGAATCCTTTGATTATCATGAATATAAGTGAGGGAGCTCAGGAGAGTTTGGTTTCAAGACTGAACCTTGTGAAAGGAGTACATATGTTTTCTGAAATTGCAAGGGATAATATGCAATGTCAATACAATTAATTTTGGAAGATGATTAAATTTCCTGCAGTTAATTAATTTTTGGTGGGATATATACAATTGGGTCTATGGTCCAATATAATGGAACCCCAAATGCATTAAAATAGACCAGTATACATTAATTACAGAACAGTTCAATCTCTTGGGCCTTGCTTAACGATCCAATCCAAAAACCAATTGAGTGGGCCAATACCGTAGTCCTATAGTTTTTTTTTTTT